GGCAATCATCGGACACTTGGAAGGAACAAAATCCCATTCTGAAGTCTGCTTAGTCTGAAAAGCGTAAATGTCAGCAGAATTGTAGTTGCAGCAAATCCATGAAGCTTCAAATCCTTTTTTTTAAAGCTGGGAACAGGTATAAAAAATAATCACAGCTATTTATTAGTCACTGGTGAGATATACCTAGACCTGGTTGTTTCACCAGGATTCCGAAAGTTGGAACCTTGGGTAAAACATTTCAAAAGGATAACTGACAAGATCAATCGTTCAAAAAATTATACAGACGAGAATATTGAATTCAACAGCATGAGTAATACATAATTGGAAAATACTTAGAGAGAGCTTTTATTGCACATTAGTTTCAAGTTTGGATCGCGTATGAAATAGTGTGTACAAACCGTCAAAGTGGGTGAAAATGGCCAAAATTGGAGTTTTCAAATTTAATTTTAAGTTGTTTCAATCAACGTAGAAAGTTGAAATTTTGTTCTTGAATTGGCATTGCTTTATTCTACAAGGTTGCAAAAGCTCGTTGTGCTGTCATGCATCCTAGTGCTCAAAATTTGCGTGCAAAACTCGGCAATATTTGCAATTTTTTCATTTGTGTAACTCACTTTGTGATGAACGCAGTAGAAAATGGATTTGATAATGCGATCTTGCATCGTCTCAGCTTTAGAGTCCAAAAACGCTTTTCTAGCTCGACTGGGACCAAGATAGCGTTTTTACCTCAAAGATCACTTTTTCCTCTTGGGGGCTAAGTTCAGGACTGCATATCTCGAAAACCGTTAGAGCCAGAGAGCTAAAAGTTGAAACGTTCTCATAAGTATTCGATGTCAACACTCAAAAATTTTCATGCCAATCGGAGTCTGACGCGCAACGAAAGTGACTAAAATTTGACCACTTGAGCTGGAATGCCTCATCACTGCCTTCACCTACGTAGGATTTCGGGCTTTCTAGTTTTTTTTCCCCCAACATTTTTTTACATTGCAGATGTGATGCTGATCACTTTTGGCTGAATCTCTGCAACTATTTTTTTTTTAATTCGTAGTACAATAGATTCAGTGAATGCCAGATAAACTCGGTGTGAAGTGATACATGAGATTATGAGATGGTCAGGGCATCTCCATCAGAGAGGGAGGGGTCAGGCAATTTCCATAAATGTGCGAATTAAGTATGATGTTCACGCATATTATGAATGTACCTTTTGGATGATAGTACTAAGCGGGAGGCTCTTAGCCAATTCAGCATGCGTGGAAGGGCTGTCGTTTCACCCCGGTTGCTGATGCGATCAATATTGTACATGGTTAGCATAAAATTTACTACCGAGTTCAGTTACATAAGCTAGGCTGTAATATTTGGTGTGAACACTAATGGGAACATGGGGAAGAGGAATACGTACGTAGGGTCATCGGATATGGCCACCAGCATATGCTCAATAGCCACATTTGTTCAATGATGACCTCTCTTAATGTCTATGATTGCTGCATTCGGGATATGCAATCATAGACGCTGACCAAAGCTGTCCAGCATCCCACATGTCCACATGATGGCGGATAGCATGTTTGAGGTTCATTAAGGCAGCAGGTGCCGTACGATACACAATAGGCTTGAAATATCCCCAAAGTCTGCTGGGGTGAGGTCGAGCGAACACGGCCACGTGTTCGAAAAATGGTGACTGATTAACTGGTCACTAAAGGGTGTCTGCAAGAGCGTCTTTACGGTTAATGCGAGGAGGAGCCCCATCTTGCATAGTGTTTCTTCCAATACAGTCCTGAAGAGTGGAGATTAAAACACCTACATAGCATCGATCGATAACGTTCACCGGTCACTGCCGCAGTCCGAAATCTCGTGTACGTTGGTTCCTCAAAGAAATGTGGCTCAATAATGAAGGTGCTTATGAATCCACATGCACCGTCACCTTCGCGGAATGCAATGGTTGTTCGACGACAGCATGTGAGTTGGTGTCCCCCAGATGACACAGTTCCATGTGTTGACGTGCACATAGAATGAGAAATGTGCCTCTTCCGTCCACAGGATTTTGTCGAGCCAGGTGTCCTCAAGCTGCATTTGCACCGGAAACCGGAGTACGAAATCCAGCCGTGCTTGCGTGTCACCAGATTGCAGTACCTGGACACATTTTACCCTGTAAGGGAACAGTTTCAGGGTTTTCCGCACACTTCACAATGTTGATATGGGGAGTCCTGTTTGTCTGATAACTTGATTGGTGCTGCATTTCCCACGAGGATTTCTGTGTTTAACATCAGCCGCCACTTGTCCCACCTCGGCTACGATTTCTACAGGGGTTGTAGGACGGTCACTATGGGGTGCATCAACGACAGAAATAATCTTTTCAAATTTCTTAACCAGACTTCGGCATGCTCCGACACTGTAGGGTCCTTTACGGCACCGTCACACGCAGGAACGACTGTAGCGCCTCACCGGCATAGTTGTTATAACTGCAGTAATGTTCTATTAAGGCGATCTTAATGTCTAAGGGCAGCTTGTTGCGTGGCATCTCTACTGTCAGAATGACCTCTGCCAGTGGTTATACAGGGGGTCCCGGAATTGACTGAACATTGTCCTTCCGCCTAGCCTAGAAATAGCTAAGACCAGTGGTCGGCAACTTAATTTCACGGCGGACCGGATGGTAGAATGCTGAACTTTCGCGAGGCAGCACCTACCAAGTGTCATTAAAATGAAAATTTTATCGAACGTCTCATGTCAAACGTGCAGCTGAACGTCTATTGTCAGACTGTAATGCCCGATACCCGGGTCTTCTTGGGCCAGGGGGAGGGCTTCCGCAGGCCGGATCTGGCCCGCGGGCCGCTAGTTGCCGACCACTGGCCTAGACCGTCAATTCCACATAGTCTTCCCCATATAACAGAGATTTTTTATGCATCAAACTCATATCCGTAATTAACAGCTTAGTCCTCCGCATTCCTGACGGCCTGCACTGAAATTGAGCGAATACTCTCCCTCTCTCTGACACGTCCACGCGATGAACTAGCATAGCGTTGTTCCCTCCCGTCAACAATTGGGACATTTTCCTCGTCAAGAACACAATTTCCATTTGGTTGATGGCTAAAGCGAGGACGTCTAAATCTTCAGAAATCTTAACCATTTCGTGGGTGGTGGGAAGTTAACATTCCAGAAAACGTTCGACCTTCCTCGTGCTTTGAGAAGGCTGCACATAGGGAAAAATTGGCCCTCGAAAGGGTTAAACGATTTCGCCCGAAAGGCTTCAATATGTCTCAAAGAATCCTGTTTTTTTTTTATTGCTGCACGAACGCGCCTCATCCACCTCGACTGCTTTGCGTATTCAGCAGAAACTTTAGCCTCCAACCGTGTTTCTTCGCTAAAGAGGTTCTAACGCAATCGTTTTTAGTACTGCACGCAACGCAATCGTTCAGGGCATTTCTATCCCCCCCAGAGGCTCGGATCGAAACGGTTGAAAAGATGATGCGGAGATGTGATGTCACAGTGGTTGAAAGGACGTCAGGATGTTACATCGCTCAAGCTTCTCGCTCTAATATCTCCTTATACATTCCACGCAGGGGCGTGAGAGTTTCATCGATGGATTTTAAATTAATCTTACCCTTAATCCATGGTCGAATTAAAAAAAAAAGCGAAATCCCCCTATCACAAGACTCAACAGTTACAATGCGAAAACCCCAGAATGCATGGATCGAACACTCACGATTTTCCAGGGCACAGGTGGTAATTAGTACCAAATGGCGGAGGATGGCGGAGCTCATTCCCCCCCGCTTGTGCTGATTCCACTCGGCGTGGGTCAGACCACTCTGACCACCAATCCCAGTGGATGCTGAGGCTCTTTCATGTACCGTGCTGCTCCGAATCGGCAGCACGTTCAACCTGAAATGATGGGGGAGCTGCAGAATTTCTCTTCGTTTTGTGGCGTGACAGGACGGGTGAAAACGGGAAATTCACCAGTAGAATCCACCTAAATGTTACGAAGGTAACATTTATACGGATTTTACTGCAATTGTTATTTTCGTCAGAGAAATAGCGCGATAGACGGCCAATCTCATGAAACATAAGATCGACCATGCATCATGCTGAAACGTACAACTTCCTTTCAAGTTCTACTTGAAAAGTAGTTGTCCCATCTACACATTTGTTGACATCTATGGTGACGTTTTGAATGAGATGTGCAATTAACGTTAGCCAACAAAATTCCAATGCATTTGCAGGTTTCTACAGTTTATGACTAGGATGTGACTCTATAGGATGTAACTATAAAAACGGAAGGATGGAAATTTTGACTTCAAATGTGCTTTCAGGCACCGTAGTAAATAACCCAACAGAAACCATTAAGGTATAATATCTCAGTCCTATAAGAGTTATGCAAAGGAAGCTGAGAAATATTTGGCAAGCACTAAATCTATAGTACTTCACCAATATTAGAGAAAAAGCTTGGGCCACTGAACATTCCTGGTGGGTAGTAGTCCAAATTAACACATTCGCTCCCGAATACGTCTTAGGACGTATTCACTACGATGTTAGGCAATGGTTCTGGCATTCCCACAGGTTAAGATCGACAGTACCGACAGTCCCAAAGATGCTTCCGGTATTGGATGATTCTATCAATTTCCACGACGTTAACACGTTGACGACCAGCCTATTTTTGCTTGTCCGCCGCGTGGGACCACGCGAATTTTTTTTGTCAAAAAATGCGTCCTGCCATCAGGACGCATGGTCCCANGGGACCACGCGAATTTTTTTTGTCAAAAAATGCGTCCTGCCATCAGGACGCATGGTCCCAGAAAACATTTTTTTTGCCGAGTTTTTTTTTAATGTTGAATTTTTTGGAATTTTCATCAGTAATTACGAAATCATAATCATCTGGAACGTTCTCAACAGTTCCAGAGGGTATTCATTGAAAAAAAAATCTGCATCCTGGCATCAGGACGCATTGTCGCCAACGTGTTAAAGATGTTGTACGTTTGCCAAAGTATGAAGTGTAAGGGCCTTGACTGATCTAACTAGATCTGACTTGCTGTCACACCACTTGCAAATGATGCATCCAATTTACGGTTTGAGTCTTCCACCTTATTTTGAATCAGAGCTAAGAAAAGTGGAACACACAGTGGAACTAAAGATAAACAGCATTAGGATTGGTCAAGCCATGAGATTATGCACAATTTCTATGGATTACAAACTGATCTTTACTAGAGAGGGAAATAACTGGAACAGGAACAAGTTAATGTTAATATTGGAATTGATAAAGTAGAGAAAATATGTTAAAAGCAAAGGAGTCCCGGTGTCCCCACGAAGAAGGGAGATATAACACATTTTATCCACTGTTAAAAGAGACAGTCTTTACTGTCAACTCATTCAATAACACAGCCATGTTGTATGAGTGATCTCATTCAATCAGGCAAAATATTCCGCATCACTCTTCTTTCATAAGATCCCCCTGGGTATGCCGTCATACGTGTGTAACTTCAAGTGTTCATTACGCCAGTGGTAGTGCAATGGTACATCTTGTGAAGAAGAGGTTCTTGGCTACTGAAATGAAGTTCAGGATGGGGGACAGAAAATGGGTGTGGCCTCTACAAAATACCAGAGATTCCCCATCAACTCCTACTTCCACCATCAACGATGGTGGAAATATGCAGGGTGTCCAGAAAAAACCTAGTAAACTTTAGTGTATATGTGTGAGTAAGTGAAATATTTTGGAATATCGTTAATAAGATACAAACACTGTCAACTAATTAGCAATCACTAGTTTATTATAATTAGGGGTCTTTGCTTTAGTTCATCAATGCTTCAGGTGCTCAAAATGTTGGCCTGACACACATTTAATACTAAGTTGTAACCAATCTGCAAACAGAAGCAGCCAGATCCTGTGATATTGCTCAAAATGCAACTGCAATACGTGGCCAAAGATCTTTCAGACTGGCAAGCTTCACTCTGTAAACCTCATCCCTGGTGAACCCCCAAGTGAAAAAATCAATAAGGCCAGGTCAGGGGAAAATTCTAATATTTGTACACCATCTGTATCACACTGACTCTTTGTTCTTTGGTGAGTTGAAATGATCCACTAATTTGTTCTGCCATTTTTGCCAACTTTTGAATCATGCAGCTGATGTAAAACCCATCACTGTAACAAAGAACAAAGAACGCTGTAACACAAAAATAAATAATAATTAGCATAATAGGTATTTTCTGGATGCCCTTCATGAATCTGCACCTATTCCCAGTACAATCTTCAAGGTTACCCCAGGGATGGGATCACCTGCATTGAGTTCACACTGCTGAGGTTCTTCAACATCTCACATCTACAATTGGGATAGCTGAATGCAAAAGAGTCTCTCTTCCCAAGTGTACTGGCTTCTTCACTCAGATATAAGCATCTGACTTGGTCCATTTCAAACCAGTGCAATCAGGGCAAAACAAGCTATGAACAACATAACACAATTTCCCCTTCTAAGTTTTTCAATACCAATGAGACTAGCCTCTCTCCTGCACCTGGCAAAATTATGCAGGTTTGTCTCATATAGAGGACAATTAATTCAAAGGCATGTTGAATGGAAGTAAATGAGCTGCTGTAAAATGAACCAAAAACATAAAAAATTTAAGAGCAATATTGATGTGGCAATATTGATGCAGCATTCACCTGCACTCTGGTTGGGCAGAAGAGACTTAGATAGGGAAGTATGCAGCAAAGAGAAACAGCACCCATATAATCACATCAAGGGGAAGAAATGACAGTGAGATAATATGAAGGAAAAGCAGCAAATGAAGTCAAAAATACATAGCTGCAAGGCATCTTCCTGCAAATGCCAGAGTCTGAGACCACAAAATCCACAGCAGAATGAGTAGATGGCCCTGAAGGTGAATCTACTGTAAGATGTTAATGTACATAGTGGACTGAAATGACTCCTCTCTGGAATGTACATGGGCATGGTGAAATACAGAACCAACAAATTGAGTTGCAATGGAGAAATATGCATTCAGCAACTCTAATGCAGATCATAGATATGCAAAATATAGTAGGGGAGGTGCTACCTGACAAGATACTGCCAGACATGTACAATACATTCTGTAGCATCAACCTGACCTGCCCACCCCTACTTGGTGGAAATGAGTTTAGCCAGGTAGACACTGCCAAGAGGGAAACAAGAGTTGGCAGTTATTGCAAATGGACACGACAGAAAAGCAGCATCCCATCATTGAATTTCCTGTTGTACAGCAGATTATGTGAAAAGAGTGGACAGTGTACAGGTGGATTGTGTCCTTGCATGAAGTGCAAGATGTGAAGAATAAGGACTCACCAGGCAGGTATGTACACCAACACCAGGCAACTGTTACAAGTTGGACACAATGCAGAATAGTCACTGCACAACAGTGAATGAACTGGAGATGTGAAGAGAACTGGAGTTGGCATCACTTTTAAGTTGATTATTGGGATCCTCCATGATGACTAGGACACAGGGGTGCAACACTGCCTAAGATGCATAAAAATGTTCCCTTGCTGACAGGGAGAAATTCTTTGACTAGATCATCATGGTGGATGAAACATGATTGTACATCTTTTGTCCAGAATCAGAGCAGCAATGCAAACAATGGAAACATGCATGGAGTTCATCACCAATGTTTCATGCCCAGCTATCAGCAAGAAAGGTTATGACACCCATATTCTAGGATCAATATGGAATTAATCTCAGAGACTATCAGCTGCATGGGAAGATCATCAAAGCATTTACTTCATCAAAAATCTGCACATGGACCCCTATAATAAACTACAACGATGGTCAAGCATGCTGTACATATTTCATGTGGGCTCTCCACAACCAACACTAGTCACACTTTTTCCTAAGTCACTGCCTCCTTGAGACTTTGTCACATCAACCCTATTACCTAAGAAATAACTAACCCAAACATACCAAGTAAATTTTTTTTAATGTGTATTTTTGTTAGCAACTTCCTATATTCTTTCAGATAAACAAAATCAAAATGGCAGATTGAATTACGGAGTCACATGGATTGCTTCTGCATTTTGTGACATCTCAAAAAAAAGTATGTGTGCATTTGCAGATCTGTCCCTAACAGATATGAAAAGTGCATCAATGAGGAAGGAGGCTATTTGAATATCTGAGGAGCTGACAAGGGCTTCATGAAAACATAATACTAACATCAGTGTCATGACACAACATAACAAGTAATAAATAACAGGTGTTACACTTACATGTAGTGTATTAATAAATGCAATAGCAAAGTATTTTTGGGACACCTTGTACATATTATCTTTGGGGTGAGATTCTGCAAGCATTCTGATGCAGCAGTAATTAGCTAGAGCACTCCATCAAAAGAATCATCAAGATTGAAGAAACTAAAACTCACCCAAGGTATCATTCTAGATAGAGGGCCCCTTCTCCCCTAGCAGCTATGAAAATGTTTTCCATGCCCAGGTTTTCCAAGCATAATGTGAAACAAACACTTGGGGAATTGGCAATAGAGGAAGAAAAAAAAATGCAAAAAGTTTTTAGAGCCAGAATGTGAGTATAATGAAAATTTCTACAAAGGGTAGAGGCATAAAAAGCTTAAGTTGCTCCCTTGTAGCTGATGCCCTTCATGCTCCACTCACTTTTCACTTGCAGGCTTGCATACTTTTCCACTACTCATCCCATGCATGCTCAAACACTTTTTACACAATATACTTACCCCCTTCCACTGGCTGGTACATTTGCACACAAGTGTCACTCTTCTCTTCTTCCAAGTCAGTTGATTCGAGGCTTTGTCTGTTGTGGTTGATATATGAGGTGACAATAATGGATGCACTCCCCTGGCTAGTAGAAATGTGGCAGACCACATGATTGCACTTTCCGTATTTGGATGCACTACTTTTCCATGTTTCATATGAGTGTCACATTCCCTGAATGATTATATTTTTTTTTTAGAGATTCATGACATTGAGGGGTCTAACATTATTCAGAGCTATTTCGTCAGTGTGCTGCACAGTCTCTTTATCATCCTGATCAGAATACAGCTCATTGCAAATACAGAAAAATCTGGAACATGGAAAGGAAACACAACTGAATGAGTAAATAAGCTAGTCTAATGATTATACTATAGTCCATCACATCTTTGCAGGTCATAAGGGGTGCATATATTTTGACACCCTGTACTCATTAATGCCTCTTTCTTTTATGACTGCTTTGTCAGCTAGAACATGATGTTGCTGACACCCCTTAGCATGATTTCCCATAATTCAAACAAAGGGGTATTTTAGAAAAGAAAAACACAAATTAAATCATACCATTGAAAGATTCTTGAATTTTCTGATGCAATATTGTTAAGAATTTATGGAAAATATTAACATCAATTTTCAATGTAAAACTGGAGGTCCAATAGTCACAGTCATGGCCAAGGCTTACCAAAGGCTAATTTTAAGCCTTGGAAATTTTAGGGCTTGCACTCAACTCTACATTGTCATTTGCATTCTTACATTTATGCATTAAAATGACAACTCTTGCATTGCATTGGATCAGCTGTTATTCAAGATGGAATCTAGTAAGGTGGACCTTTTGTGGAAACGACAGTGTATTGTCAAATTCCTTGTACCAGAGAGTACCACTGGAGCAGATTTTCACAGTCAATTCAAATAATCTCAGATGATGACTTTCAGCAGTTATAGAGGTGAAACTCTGTCACAAGTCACGTGCATTTGAATGGTGACATGGTTCCAGGAGAGGCAGATGTCTATTAAATAAAACTTCAGATGTGGTGGGCCTCATACCATGAGAAACCTTTATATTTGGTGGATCATTCCACTTCAAGTGAGGTAATGATCTGTGCTCAACCATCACAGAATTCAATTAAATTTGGCAAGTGGTCAGCTTATTTTGAGAATAGCCCACAGAAAAAAAAGCAAGTTTATACTTCAAGCGGAGGCCAAGAAAAATGAGTTTTAATTTAATCATAGGGTGCAAAATGGCCCCCAACCCCCAGATGCTAAATTCCTGACAACATAGTTATGATATTGTCACTACCCTATTTTGATTGGCTATAAATTTTCAAGGGACAGTTTGATGCATTACTTGAGAGAGAGGTTCATGAGTATAAGAGGTTTTTTCACATCTGCAAGAAGGCACTCTATCCTAATAGGGGGCACTGTTGCTGACTGGAGGGTCCCTATCTTTGTGCTATGCCACTTTTTAGGCAGGAAAAAAAAAAACTTGTAGGGTTTATTTTTTGAGCCTTTGAATCTAACATGAGCCTCTCTGGCAAAAAAATATCAGTAAATAAAAAGTATCAACAGAAAATATCTGAGAGCCCTTTCAAATATTTGATGGAGGCCAATATAAAAAATATTAATTTATTAAAAATTGGTTTAAGGCCCAAACAGGGCAAACTATCTGAATTTTGAGATGATGAAGCATAGACCATTACTTATAATTTTTGCCTGAATACACAAATCTAACTTTCTCCCATAGAAAATGGTGGAGTGCTTATTTTCAATCACCTTATACATAAATAACACCTCTTCTTTGAGGATAATGATTGACCTATGATGATGCCAGTGATTGCTTCATTTGCTACCTGGATATAAAAATCAGTTTGCATAGCATTTTATGATATTTTCAAGTCTGGGAACTTTTCAGTTTCTCCCATCTAACTGCAATTTAGGATTCAAAGCTCTCCATTGCACCTCCTTGCATTGAGAATTGACTCCTGCATTTGATCTCATATCAAAAGATCAGTACATTATGACAGGCAGCAGCTGAGGAAGAGTGCAGCAAATATCTTCCATCACCAGATTGACAAAGTCCTCAGAGCAGCTTACAGTTTCATGGACATAGCCATTCCTGCCTGTCTCTATAGGCACTCATCTTAACAAATGATGCTGCAGGAGATGTAACACCTGAGGCAAGGATGTAGGAACCAGGGGGGCAGGGATGGCAAATGTCCACTCACTTTTTTCCAGATGGGGGGGCAAAGGGCATCTTTTGTCTCACTTTTTGAACCTAAGAGTAATGTGTACACAGGCAAGTTGCAACTTAAGATCCTTCATGGCATTCAGTGGGGTTTGGAAAGTATATTTAGCTTGAAGCAAGGTTAATGCCTGAGGGGAATTGGCATGATAGGGCACACTTGATAACTTGATAAGCATCCAGAGGGAGTTCTTTTTTGTTTCAGATTCAAGATCTCCCATCTGATTAGACTTCTCCTCCTTCCTCTAAAGTCTTTCCTAAAAAAGAAGGGAGGTTCTAAAGGCGGTCCCCTTCAGTCATAAGTCTGGCTTGAAACATTTTAATTGCAGACAGTGAATAGAGGTTCAATATCATGTCACAGAAGAGAAGTGCTCATTCTAGAAAACTTTTGATTTCATTATGAAACCAAAGACAGCAAAATATGAAGAAAATTCAGGAATGGAAAATTTCAACAGTGTGGTAGTATAGGTTGTCCCTATGGATGAGATTGCACAGAAACCTATGCATGTTTGTGAAAGTGGCCAGCCATTTGCAGCAACAAAAAATGTAATTTCCTTAGGCAAAGTACTTTAATATGATGCCATGGATTTCATACTTGCCAATGAGAGACACAGTTTAGTGCTACAGATGTTGTGTATGCATCAGCAGAGAGGTCTTTTTTGGCACTGAGGCAGCTCAAGAATTGGATGCAGATGATGACAACACATCACCTAACAAATGTTGTATTGATGCATCATCATGCAAAGCAAGATATTTTGGACTCCTGGGAATTATATAAATTGATTAAATATTTTGCAAAGCAAACAGAGAAAAGGAGAATATTTGCATTTTAGTTTCACATGAATTTGATATCCTGATCATGTTTGAATTACATAGTAATTTTCAGAATTTCAGAACTGACCCATCTCATTTCCCCCCCCCCCCCCCCACTTTCAAGGACATTCCTACAATTATGACCTGAAAATAGGGATGGGCTATTGACCAGTCAATTAAAAACATGTCAATTGACTGGTCAATTGACCAGTCAATATGGTTACAAGGTGGAGTGATTACGTCGCTCGACTTTGTCACGAGAGGCTCGGCATCCCACCAACTGAGCTTGAGTCTGTTGCCCAGGATCGAGATCACTGGAGGACGCTCCTGGGAATGCTCGAACCGCGACCCCATTAAGTTTGTAAAAGCGGGCAAGAAAATGTATGTATCTTTCCCAGAAAGACTGTGCCCTCTCAATTCCAACTAAAACTAGTTTAAGGGGTTTAATTTATCGTAGTGAAGGAACGCGGAAATCAGTATGGATACTTGGTTTTAAAAAAAGTTTGACTTTGACTTGGTTTTTATCACCGAATTACAGTCAAGGAAAACACATGTCTTCAATTTTGGACTGCTTTTAACATTTTGAAGTATCATGGATTCTTGTAATGGTTTCATTTCCTCTACATTTGTGCTCACTCCTCTTCATGAGATTTTTTCTACCTTTTTTTAGGTAGAAAAAATCTCAAGAAGAGGAGTGTACAAACATCCAAGGCTGTACCGATGGCCACATTTAGCCGGTGGGCCAATGACCGATTATGTTCTCACACTTATTGGCCTGTACCCGTGCTTATTGTGACGTGTAGAGGAACAGCAAAGAATCATTTTTTTTAATGTATTAAAATTCAAATAAACCTACTAGGTATCCAAGTTCAATTTCACTAGGGCTGCCACGCTGAGTGTATGGAACACATCAGTGAATCGACCGGAAATATCGATAGTGCGTCGTTGCACCCGAAGGGTGGGGGTGAGGGTGGATTCAGTCTTTTCTTGCCTCGATCAAGTGAAGGCTTCACTCCTGTCGTTTCTTGCCTCGATTGGGGTGCGGAGCTATATCCGCTTCCATAATCTCTTGCCTGTGATCGGGGAGTGCGGGGGAGAAGGTGTGACCTTTGCGATGAGCGGTAAAGCCTACCATGTTTCCAAACTATCGAAAGTGACATCCATACATCGAAGGATGCATTGGGACAGCCCTTTTTTCCCATTTGCCGTTGAGAATCAGTTATCAAGCCCCGTTCACGTGTTTTTTTTCTTATTTTTATTCGTTTTGCATGTTCTTTTTTTGGACATCAGCACTGGCAGCTTGCAAACCTGTCTATGACCGATGGTGCCACACCGGCGGCCGATACAGCTGGTTGGCGATACATCGGCAGAGGCATAGAATTCTCCATTGCTGATGAGGAAATTCCATTGTGGCTTCCTCTCTCCCGATAATGCATTCTTCAGCTCCTATGGAATCGAGAAAAGGTTTAAAAATATAAAATAAAATAAAATGACCAGTGAATGAAGGCCATCGTCGAGAAGGTTTCTGAAGTAGAAGCAATCAAAATAAACTGGGCTCATCAAGGTGACGTGAGACCTGAACCTGAACAGGAAATCTGATTATAGGGATAATAACTAATAGTTTGAGAGGAATCAGCCCTAAAGCAGATTCCTCTCTAATTAAATGTACCCCATTTAGGGATGGGTTATTGACCAGTCAATTAAAAACATGTCAATTGACCAGTCAATATGGTCAACTATGGACAATTTTGGTAAATAGGACCAACTTTTTTTTTCTTTGTAGTTTTTGCACCATTATGTATGTCATGACTCACAAGTTCCCATCCCTAGTCTTGTGACTAGGGATGGGAAGTTGACTGGTCAACATGGTCATTTTAGACCATTTGCAGAAAATAATGGTTTTAAGCCCAACAAGAGGTTAGAGCTTATGACTATATGATCATAAATGAACATGTTAATCAGTCAACATCTCATTGCTAAGATAAAATTTAATGTTCCAACTCATACAATCTATAGGGTAAACAGTAATGAATCATGTTTCATAGCTAGATTAATTTTTTTAGGCATAGGCATAGGCATAACCCACGCACTTGTCCCTTGATCACAGACTTTGAGAATAATTTGATGCTCTGATGCAGACTATTAGCCAGGACCATGATTGACCTTGCACGAAACTAAAGTTCTAAAGCTGTTACTTAGATCTTGAACCTTAACTTTTTGTCCCATGATCACAGACTTTGAGAATAATTTGATGCTCTGATGCAGACTATTAGCCAGGACCATGATTGACCTTGCATGAAACTAAAGTTCTAAAGCTGTTACTTAGATCTTGAACCTTAACTTTCAAAGTCCTTGAGGCTATAAAACTTTGAACAGCAAGCTATGCCTGCACATACACTCTGCACCACTCAGGTGAAATGTCATGGTAGTTTGAGCATTTGCTAAAATGTTTTCCTACACAACAGTTGCCACAGTCTAGGTGTTTGGCAGGCTGCATGAACAAATCTTAAAAATTGAATTGACTCTTTGGTTTTAGTGCTGGGGGATAAATGACCCCAGTTATGAGTTCTATAAAAATATCTTAATTCACTGAATTAAAAAAATTAGCGGTCAATAATGGTCAATTAAAAGGTGGTCAATTGACCAGTCAATTGACCAGTCAATTGACTGCCCCATCCCTACCAGAAAATGAGAATTAGTGTTTGCCTGTCTCTTCTACCTGGCACAATCAAGAGTGTTTTGGACATTCCATCAAGGCATCACACCATCTGTAATAACCACAGTGCTCCAACCAAGTTCCAATGTTTTTTGTGAAACAGGGGATTATTGGACTATTCCAACATCTGTCTTATGTTGTCCTTCCCTCAGCCACTATGGAGAAGGAAATAGGATTGTCCAGCTTCATATTGGATTTCCGTCAAACCTGTAAGTGACACAATGCATGGGTCTACACACTAAAAGCAGCTCTCATCAATCTTGATTATCTTGCCAAGGCCTGCAAATGGAAGGTGGGACAGCAAATGCACCAACAAGTACCTCTTCAAATGGCATTTCTCCAATCAATGATAGTTTCATTGCCTGAAGGAGAGGATTTGATTTGGTAATTTTTTATTTATTTAGTCAGCTGCTCAACGATAAAACAGGTAAAGAAAGTTTGAAAACTCAGCCAGGATTATCATTCCAGTCCTAGAATGAAAGCAGTATTCCCCCAATCTTGCCTCCTCCTTCTCTATTTTCCAACACTGATCTGAAACAATCTGTTCCAGGAACTTCTGTAGCCTTTTAATACTTTGCAGGGAGGCAATAGTAGGCTCATTCACATGTGGGCATCAAAGTCAACTAGAAGTACATCTGATTCACCATGATGTCAGTCAGTACAGAGGTGCATGTGGAAGACCAACTCACTTCCAAATGTAAGAGTAAATGGTAGTAATTGATAGTGTTTTTCACTCAAGTCATAATTTTTCACTTGACTTGAACACTCATGTGAGGGATGCATGCATGTCTGAATGAAGTGAAAAAGTGCCTGACTCAAATGAAAAACACAGTAGTTACACAGACATGGCCAAGTACCACATCCCATCCTTTTATGAAATTGAATGCTGAATTGGTACAGTCCTCATTGGAAAGTAGTGCTTATGTAATGAAGGTATGGTACATGTCATATGGGCCATGTCAAATTGACAGTGCAATACACTAAGGAATACCATCTAGTTGAAAACAAGAGTTTGAAGATTCCAGAGAACTCAATCAATATTGTGGACATCATAGGCTTAAAGACTTAAGAAAGCCTCTTGAGGGATGAAATCAAAATCTGACCCTGAAAGGACCTTCTTGACTCTAAATTGGACTATTAAATCACTCTGATACTTTCCACATCTTTTTAAGTTGTAACCAGTTCTATAAATTTCATGATTTATATTACTTTCCATGATGAACTTGGAAGACAACTTTGAAATGAGATTTAAAATGATACCAAACAAATACACAACTCAACCTTAGGCACAAGCAAACACAACACAGGGAATCAGAGGAATAAACTAATATGCAACCTGTGACACAAGTGCACACAGCCATGGGAAAGTCCTGCATGCAATTGTGGCTATTGATTCCAAGAAAGCAAAGAAAGACAAACTCTGAATATTCACCTGAACTCTTAACCTCACACCAAGATACTTTATTATAATGGAATAGTTACTTTATTCCTTTGGTCTCTGATATAAGGAATAAAAAATCTTTATGAACCAGAACCTTAAAATCAGTAGGATGAGACTGAATTTACATGATATAAAATTATTTCTGGCATCATGCCACAATTAGAAATTAGCCTAGGCATATGATGTGGAACTTCTTATCAAACTTAAGTGTTCAAAAATGGGAATCTTACATTTCTCTTTATTGACAAAAAGGGTATCATATGGCATATGTTCAGGCTACATAACTCATCCATGCCAGTTTGCACTTTTCTTTCTTTCCCTTTCTTCAGGGTGTGACGATCGTTGTCATCATAACGCACCAGTGTCCATGGTAAAAGAAAAAAAGTAACAGAGAATTGGCAGCAAGAGAAACTGTATTCCTCCTGCAATTCTAGTTGATATCACTGCTCATGCAGTCTCTTAAACATAAAAGAAATGCAAATTAGAAGAAACTAGGAAAACCGCCTGCTAGTCCAGGCATTGGCTATGATGTCCCTTGAGGACCTTCAGGCTTGTCCCAAATATAATGTTTGAAACATTTTCTAAGTTTGACATACGCATAGCATACCAAATCATACGAAACATGTGATCCTGTGGTAAGACCTACTCAAAAACCTGCGAAAAAATGGAGACTCCGTTGGCAAGCCTGTCAAAAGGCCTTTCGGACATGTGTGAGTTCAGCTGATCGGCTTATTGACGAGGTCGAGCAAGAGTCTCGTGAACATGCGGCGCCGCCCACGTGGCGCGCTTCTGGAATCTTAAGGCCGTCACGTTGTGACGTCATCATGACGCATAAGGCACAGTATGCTATGGCTAGAGCGAGTCTTTCACGAGGTTCCCGTGAGGCGACCTAACCATCGACATTCCCATCCGATCGTACCCCGGCGATGGGGTCCTCATCTGAATGGCCCTTACCTTTTTTGCTCCTCGGAAACTTTGAGTTCTCTTGGACGCCATTCAGTGGCTAAAATAAATAACTTTTGAAAACCTCACCAAGCAACATGTGACGTCCATGTTGGGTTGCCACCCGTTCATAATTAGTATGGACATTACATTTTTCAGATGCAATGTCCCTATTGCAAACTGGTCCCAATATGAACACTGTTTTGTCCATATTTTAAACTTAAGATATGTTTACTTAATAAAGCTTTATCAAGCCAGTTTAAAATCCCGGCTGGAAACAGCTATATTTTCCAACTGGGCTCCAGCTGGAAATGAGATTGAATTTACCAGCTGGAAATTAGTCTGGAAACATCAAAAAAGTGATCCGATCCAGCTGGTATCCAGCAGGGTAGTAGATGGGTTTGACCAGTTGGAACACAGCTTCGAAGCAGACATCATTTCCAGCTGGTAACCAGCTGGATAGTAGATGGGTTTTGACCAGCTGGAATTCAGCTTGGAAGCAGACATCATTTCCAGCTGGTAACCAGCTGGAAGGCAGATGTATTTGGCCGACTGAAATTTAGCAAGGAACCTTGCATAAAACCTTGAATAAAACAAAAAAAGTTCCTGCTCCACGATAGAACGCTGAAAATTCCGAATTAGTTGAAATGTTCTGGAATCATGTCCATGAAAGGTGAAAAGAATCTGAATTCCATTGGATATAAAAATGCCCTGCTGTGATTCGCATCTCTCTCAATTCTCTCCCAAGTTGAACCCTGAGTCTCTCTCAAACCGCCATTTTACTCGAGTATCCTCGCACTAATTCCCAAAACGAAGTG